AAAATAATAATTTTTTACACTATTTAATTCAAAATTCAATTTGAATTTAATTCAAATTAACTCTTTTCAATGTTATCAATATAATTAATAATACCAACAAATTATATTCACATATTATATCAATTTTAATTTACTATTTATCTAATTATATATTTAATTACATATTAACTTTAATCATATTACATTTTAAATAATATTTATATTCAAATTTAAAATTTTACTCAATTAACTTTATTTAAAATTAATTTATTTTATTTGATAAATTTAATCAAAATCGGTTTTATTGATATTTAGTCACCCGTAGAGAGGTAGAATCTTAGGGGGCGATTGTTTATAATTTCTACCAAAAAAAAAAAACTCAATCAAAACTCAAATTTAACTAAACTTTAACTCAAACTCCACTATCTCTCATATTATCAATATAATTAAATAATATCAAACAATCATTCTCACACATCATATCAACTTCAATTCACTATTCATCCACTCTCATAATTTTAACTAACTATCACTTTCAATCATTTTTCTCCTACTTTACATCAAATCAAATTTAATTATTTTATTTAAATATTATTTTAATTTAATATATCCACTAACAACTAACTATAACACTTTTTTTTTTAAATTAACTATAGTTAAAAAACAAATCAAATAAAAATTAGTTGAATCCATAAACAATCACCCATTTACGGGATGTGCTGTGTTATTGCTCAAAAATATTTTATTTCGTTTAAATTTCATAGACAAGTCTAGTCTCGGAACATCTCACTTCAAGGATCTTCGATTGCTGATTCGACAATATTACCATTTAGTTTATATTAATTGTATGTGATAAAGTGTACATTTGAATATTTGATAGCAGAGTGCCCTGAAAATAGATTTGCCGTCACAGGAAGGGGAAAAAGATTAATAAAGTTATAAAACAAAATTTTAACATGCCATTTTTTTGTTTTGATTGGATTTTTTGGTTTGGGTTGGTTAAATTTGAAAAAGTTGGTATGAATAGTGATGTGATGTGATGGTTAGTGAGTAAATTAAAATAATATTTAAAATAAAATGATTAAAATTAATTTGACGTAAAAGTAAAGAGAGAATGTGATGTGATGTGATGGTTAGTTAAAATTATGTGAGTTGATGAATAGTGAATTAAGGTTAATATTGTATGTAAGAATGATTGATTGATATTATTTAATTATATTGATAAAATTAATGATAGTGGGGTTGAGTTAAAGTTAAATTAAAAAAAGTAGTTGAGTTAAAAATGATTGAATTTTTTGGATTGATTTTATATCCAAACATGAAGCATTTTGATATTTTGTTGGTGGGTGGCCAGAAATTTTTTTGCCACTAATAGTGGTCATAATAATTTAATGCAAAGTTGTTTTCTTGAAACTTCCTCATGTTTCTATACCATTTCCTTTTTGTTTGATTTATCTCAGAACTAATTGTATGTTGTCTGTGCTGTGTACTTCTATCCCAATTATGTTGGTGATTCTCTGACTCTCTGACCGATGTGTCATGTAGCGAGTGTCGTTCTCTTAAGTCTGAGCCCGATAACTTAACCAGAAGCTATGTAATCGGTTCGGCAAGAAGATCCATCAATAAGTTTAACCTAAAGCTACATTTGAATTGAATGATTTATTGAGAGATTTGAAATTTATAAATTTTAAATTTACACGTTCAAATCCCCATACATGTTGGGATGATAACAGAAGTTGGAGGATTTTAAATTCATGGTAGATATTTTTTAGTCATTATTTTGAAGGATTTTAAATGATTCATCAAACTTAGTCATTTGAAATTCACTGTTTATCACCGTTGACGACTACGCCGTCCGCGATTGTTTAGGTTCATCACCAGCGCGAGCCAACACTATCGGTGCGAGCTAAGCAATTTATTTATAATATTTTCAACATATCCATTCAAGGAGTGTGTAAGTAAAAATTTTATATTTCAAAAATTTTGAAATCAAAGGATTTCAAATCCCTCAAAACAAACGTAGCCTAAAAAAACTGAAATATGAATATGTTGATATGCTAATTACTAACCTTTGTTAAATATTAGTTTGGCACAAACAAGTGTTTTCTAAAAGATTTCTTGTTAGACAAACAAAATAAATTAAAGAGATATTTTCTATTTATTTATTTATTTGTGAATTAATTAAGTTTCTAGTGTTTATTATTAATAATATAGAATATATATTTATTATAGTATGTATTTTTTATGTAGCGCAGCGTATGAAAGGGAAATAAAGAGAAAAATATTTCTCTCTTGAATATGTAATTTATTAATTCCAAAATCAACTACTGAGAACAATGAACGGGGTCTTTAAAGACTCCCATTAGCCCTAAACTTATTTGTCCAACAAGAATAATAGAAATAACAAACTACAAACTTATTTAATACTACTACTAATAATAATAGGTACTATCTAAACCAACGATACAAGACGATCATGTTTGTCGAGACAAGTCAATGCACTATCGTCGACATCATTCTCTCTGGGATGGAGAGGATTCGTCCTCGAATCCGCACCACTCTCGTCAACATAGGAATTTTGTCAACTTGTTGTACTCGTGCGCCGAAAATCTCTCCTTCTTAAGGATCGCCCAAAAAAAATCGCCAACCTTGAACGCCACGTGACGCCGACGAGTATCCGTTCGGCGCTTGTAAGGCTTGGTCGATGCCTCCAAACTCGCGCGATCAATCTCATGCATGCGGCGCAAATCGACCAGAAACATCCTTCACCCGCTTCTCCACACGATCTCTGGACGACAAGGCCAATAAACCAGTTGGGCCCCGTGGTGCGACTCCATACACCACCTTGAAGGGCGAAAGTTGAGTTGCCCAATTAACGGCCGAGTTCTGCGCGAATTCGACCTGACTGTGCTGAGTATCCCATGAATGCAAATTCTCTCCTTTCTAGACAACGCAACAAATTACCGAGGGAACGATTCATATCCTCAGTCTGCCCGTTCGTCTGTGGATGATAGGTGCTGCTAAAGTCCAGATGGGTATTTTCCATCCGCCACAAGCTATCACCAAAAGAAATTGAGAAAGCGAGTGTCGCGGTCCGAGACAATAGAGGAAGGCAACCCATGTAAACAATAGACCTCACGAAAGAATAGTTGTGCAACATGAATGGCATCAGTCGTGTACTTGCATAGAAATAGGTGCACCATCTTGGAGAATCGATCTACCACTACAAAGATGGAGTCACAACCACGCTATGTCCGCGGAAGGCCAAGCACAAAATCCATACTGATGGCACTCCAAAGCTACGTCGAGATCGGTAAAGAGCGATACAAGTTGACATTAGACACCATGCCCTTGGACACGTGGCAGACGCGACAGCACTCAACATAATGCGAGACATCACGATGTAAAGAAGGCCAGAAGAACAGTCGTTGTACCAACTCAATTGACCGGCCGCGACCCACACGGCCCGACCCATGAAGGCCATTCACACTCTAGCAAGTTGCATGACCTAGTAATTTATAGTAAATCTAAGAGCATCTGCAATGCTGTGGGTCAAATTTTGCTTAAGTGGCATGTAAATAGACCTAAGTCGTGGATGAAATAGACAAAAATATATATAAAAGTAACAAAACAACTCTAATGCAAAGAGACTAGATCTCCACTCAGGTTGAAAATAAACTCAAGGGTAGAAACAAAATATGTTTCTAGACTAGGACTATTTCGATGTGGCATGTGTATTTTTTAGAAGTGGATTACTACCTACCGCCCCCCTTGGACAGTTTTACCTCTGA